CTGCTGCTGCCCATCAAATCTCTCCCACTATCAAAACCCACGACTAGAGTGCTGTATTTGTTACAGTTGATGAACCTGCATTGACACATCACTGTAGTTTGCATTAGGATTCACTCTTGGTGTTGTACACTCTATGGGTTTTGACAAATCTATAATGACGTTTATCCACCATTATACTATTATCCAGAGTAGTTTCACAGTACTTTAAAAATATTCTGATTATTCTAACTGCTTTATTGGTATTACTGCTGCTGCTTTTCCTCAGGCTCCTCTCCTTTTTTCCTTCAAGGTTGGTTTGGCTTACATGTGACTTTAGAACCTTCTCATTTTACAGATGAGAAAAAACTTTGTTCCAGAGAGGTGCGGTGGCATGGTTTGGTGTGGCAGAGCTGGTACTGGAACCCAGTGGTTCATTCAGCAGATATTTCCTGAGCATCTACTGCACTGTGATTGGTCCTAGAGTAATAAAAATTAAAAGACAAGGCTCCTGCCCCTCAAAGAATTCAGGCTGGTGGGAGATTGAGTATGGAAAAAATATATAATTGAACATGATAATATCTCTAATGGAAAGCCATATAAAGTGCAAGGGACACAGGAGTATAAGTGCCTCATTTGATTTGGAAAGTCAGGAAAGAATTCACAGAGGCAGCAATATTTGATCTGAAGAATACAAAGTCAGAAAAAAATGGGTAGGCTTTCCAGCTAGAGGGAAAAAATTTGCAAAGGCTTAATATTAGGCTAATGTCAATAATTCCAAACAAAATCTTAACAGCATTTTTCATGAAACTTGATAAGATTATTCTAAAGTGGGTGAGAATAGCCAAGACAACAATGAAAGAAAGAAAAGAACAATGGAGGCAGCAGAGAGACTTGCCTTGCCAAGAATCAAAACATAAAGATATGTTATTTAAAACTGTGTGGTATTTATGTAAGAAGAGATAAGAAGAGCAATAAAAACAATAAAAATTCTGAAAAGAAAGCCTGGGAATTGCTTAAGGGAACTATATATAAATGATTAGGTATAATTTCTAATCCAGGGCTCAACTATATTTTTCTAGCAATTATATCTATAACTTTTTAAGTCTAGGGAAATGATTGCTATGGATATGAACTGAATTAGTTATTTGTAAAGGAAATGTTTGGTACATGATTTTTTGTATGTGTATAAAAATCCTACCTGAGCTCTGACATGTTCAACTGGAGATTTTGTGTCTCAGGGGCTTTGTTTGGTTGGTTTTTATCTTAGCGTATAAAGAGTAGGAAAATTTGTGTTGATGTAGAAAAATACACTGAAATAAGTATAGTTTATATGTATACAGCCAAGTTTCAGTGTGTTAAAATGTTTATGCTGACGGTAACATATGCATAGAAGTAAAGAAGTAATCCTCTATTTGAAGACCTAAGTATGTGGGAAACCTTGCCGGGTTTGTGACTGAGATTATCCTTCTCTTCCTGGAAATACCAAAGCCTGGGTAGGATCTTCCTTCGCACTCACCGGGCCACTCATCTTGAAGAGCAGCCAGTTGGAGCAGCAGGGAAATGGGTAGAGATGCAGGAGTCAGAGGAAATGGCTCCTTATGGTTAGAAATGTGGGGGAAGAGGTTTATAAATGTGCCAGAACAGGGCAGAATTATGCTTTTATCCCTCCTCAAATTTTCCAACAGTGGATATTAATTTGTCAAATATATTCATTTTTTTCTATTTGTGTGCCCTCTAATTATTTTTCCATCATTCATTTCATTTCATTTGTTGTTTATTTTCTTGGTAGATATTGTACATAGAGATCTAAAACTGGAAAACATAATGGTTAAAAGCAGCTTTATTGATGATAACAATGAATTAAACTTAAACATAAAGGTAAGATATTAGAAATGGTGGTACCTATTTTCCTATAAACAGTTTGATAGCAAAATGGCAAAGTACATCTTGTTAGATACATTTTGGTAGCTTTCGAGCAGCCAGAAAATAAGTGGCCTGTGATTAAAAGTAAAAATTTCACAAAAGAGGTTGTAACTGACAAGAATAATTTTACAAGTTAAGTGGTGCTATTGAATGTGTTTTTTTAAAGTACATATTCATTTGGATAGCTCTAAATCATTAGTTAATAGCAAGCAAACAGATGCTCTGAATTCTAATTAATTTCAAAATTATGCCTGGTAATTTGATGTAAATGTGTTACAAATTTAGAAAAAAACACACTTTGGCTGTGCTTTCGATACAAAGTTAATTCTAAAGTCTGTGTTTCTCATTGAAAATTTTCCTAGGTATTAATATTTATGTCCTAGGCACAGTTAATGTACGGAATGTTTATTCTTGAAGATTTTATTCAAATTAAGTGTTTCTTAATATCAAATGATAGGACACATTATTTATTATTTAGCACTTTAGTAGTGGCTGCTTTCAAAATATATGAATGAATTAATTTAGGAATAAAATGTTGTCTGTGAATAACTTGCTCTGTTGCAGAAGTTAAATCCCTATATAAATATAAATAGGTTTAAAAGCATTGTTCGTTTACCCAAGTAAGTGTTCTTGAATAGTCCCATTGTAAACTCCATGAGGGTAGGAATTATGCATATCTTAGTCACCTGGTACCTGTGCTCAATTAATATTTGGTAAATGAAGACATAGATGCTCTCCAAAGAATTAAATTGGATTGTGAAACTTTTTGTATATTTTGTATGTCTGTATAGATTTTCTGTAGAGAAAGATATGTATCATATACTCCAAGTGGGATATTTATGTAAACCCCTGGAGAAATTGATTCTTGATTCTTCTATTTAGAAAAATAGTGATATCACATGTTAATAGGAACATTTTCTTACTCTATAAGCCATTGAAAACTTTTTAGTCGATATTTGTGGACCAAGAGCCTATATTTGGTTATATGATCAATAAATGTGCCTGTTTTTCTGCTTTTAGTCCAAGGGTGTTCCAACTTGGGAGATAATTCCAAGGGTACAAACTGAATATTTAATAACCAAATGTTTAATGACCAAGATTTAGAACTAAGCAGAAAGACTATAGTTGCAGCAGCAGGTCTCCAGTGTATTTGTAGTTAATACTGTGTTGTTGTGGATTTTCCCTGTTAATTTGCTTCTCACAGTTTTTAATAGTGTAGTAATTGTTTTAATTAGTATACTCTAGAAACACAAAGGAAATTATAGTAAAGAAGAGATAGCATTTACCAATTATAAATAATTTTTTGAAAGGGGAATTTCAATGAGCACTGACAAGGATAATAATTTACATTTATAAAAGTGTTTTAAACTGGAACATAACTTGATTATCGGGAAAATAGATAATAAATATACTAAGGCCAGAATGCATTTTACAATGAGATAACTATCTTTAAAAAAACTTCTTTATCTGAAAAAAGTCAAATGCCTTCTTTCAAGATACAACTTCCTATGTTGAACTGGTGAATTTAATTAGAAGGCATGAACAGTCAAATCACGGGTGTTCTCTCAAGCTTTCAGAAAGCAAGCTTCTCTTTACCAAGTTTGTTCTGCATACAGAAGGTGGGTGGGAAGGGAAAAGGAAGGTTCTTATTAATAATACATGTAAAGTCCTCCTACCCTCAAGAACCCCTGAATTTGATGCAAGTGCAAAGTGGTGAAAGTCCTGTCTTCAGAATGGGTGAGCTCTGGGACAGGGAAACAGGTGACTATGCTGAATTTCTTCTCCTAGGTGACCGATTTTGGCTTAGCAGTCAAGAAACAAGGTAGGAGTGAAGCCATGCTGCAGACCACATGTGGGACTCCTATCTACATGGGTAAGTTAGTAGACTTGAAATGATTTTTTATGTGTAAAAAAGTGGAGCAACTAATATGAATTACAATTTGAACAATTTGATTTTGCCATCATAACTTCATGGCTTAATGACTTCATGGCTTTTTTTCTTAGGTCAAATAATTTTAATTGTTTTAGCATTTTACTCATACTCCCTACCTTTAAAGATTTTTGTAATTTTTGTTACTTCTCTAGGCTCTTCTTAAAGTTGTTTATACCTTAGGTAATCATACCCCAAACTCAATTATTGTTTTTGTTTACTAATGCTAAAATCATGTGTGTGTTTTGCTTTTTTGTGTTTTTTATCCAATTTCATTGTCATCAGTTTTTCATGAAGAGTACTGATTAATATATTTTGTAAAGCAACATTTTCTATTTTTCTAAATGTGATTTTTAACAGCTTTATCAAAGTTTAATTTAAGTACCATAAAAGATGTACAATGATTTTTCATACATTCACAGGGTTGTGTAACCATGATCACAATCCAGTTTTAACACTGGATTGTGGAAAGTTCCCTCATGTCCATTTGTGCTCAATCTTGTTCCCATCCCAGCCCCAGGTAGCCACTAATCTCTCTAGATTTGTCTTTTTTTCTCTCTAAATTTGCCCTTTCTTGGGCAGGTTCTCTCTAAATTTGCCTTTTCTGGACATTTCACATAAATGGAATCATACAACATATAGTCTTTTTTGTCTGGCTTACTTTCACTTAGTGTAATGTTTTTGAGATACATTCCTGTTGTAGCAAGTATCTGTCATCTATTCTATGTATTGTTCATACCCAGCCAACTCTGCATTTATTATCTGTTTTTTTCACAGTTTCTACATCTGTATAATAGGAATAATGTCACTCATTTATAAAATTTTTTTCGGAAAAAAAAGCCAGGCATGGTGGCTCATACCTGTAATCCCAGTACTTTGGGAGGCTGAGGCAGGAGGATCACTTGAGGCCAGTA